GAGGAAGCTGGAGAACCTGGAGAGAACCCACGTTGCACGGGGAGAACATACAAACTCCACACAGACAGATACAAGGCGTCCTAACCGGGATAACAAGTGGTTTACATGTATTTTCTTACTGTATGACATCAATCAAATTCCTATCCAAGGGTTACACTGTTGTGTTGTTTCTGAACATGAACTGCATTTAGATCTGTTATTAAGCAACTTTTATTTAATTAATCAATCAAAATTGTGCACTGCATATCTAAAATATGTTAATGTCACAAAGAAAAACGATGCAGGTTTATTATTTATGGATGGAGTACACATTTTTACAACCTTTATGATGATTTTCAAACTTCTTTAGAAATGAATGCAGACCGATGATTAGGGGGGAACACATGAAAGAAGATTATTAAAAATATGAGAGCATTCAAAAATGGCAAGAAAATTGAAATTTACATAGCTTTTAGTTTAAAGCTGCAACTACACTATTGTGGTCCTTTGATTAAGTTCCCGTCCTGCTAAACTGATGGTATGAATATTCTTAAAATCTTGCAGCTGCTTGTAATATCAAACTTTTGAGAAACTGGTTGATATGAGCATTTAAAACAAGTCAGATAATTGTGTCACTCATTCGTGCAGCGCTGTCGCGATCAACACAGATGAATGAAGTACACAGATTAGTGCTGGTATGTGTTTGCACTATAAAAGGCTGTGGTGTAAACATTGTTTAGAGTCTGTTTTCATACCAGCACCAGAGTCCAGCCTGTAAACGGCAAAGTTTACGACCGACCACAGACACAGGGGTCCTCACTGCACCGAGTGTTTGTAAGCCGGGCTGTAGGGCTTTGGGTGGGAGGATTCACAGCTTTGGTGACATGACGACGCACACACACACACACACACACACACAGACACACACACACATGCACACACGCACAGAGGAGCCAGCAAACAGATGGTTGTGCTGCATGAAGTTAGAAAATGACTTGAACTGACAGATGGTAAGCAGCAACACTGAGTCACTCTCATCTAAACAGCAACACTAATAATCAGTCAAGGTATTAGAGGATTTCCATCACAACAGGGCGCTATGATCTCGACACCAGGAATCCACCCCGCTCGATTTCATTTATGAATCACTACTGATCACATTCGATGTATATACCCGCTTTGTGTTGCTGACAAACCAGATCTGATAATGTACTAAGTCTAAAAATATGATTTTGCTATGGAGCCACACAGTGTACACCAAAGCTACAGGAGGCATCTCTCCAGTAATAGATTGGAGATGCACATTCAACTGTGATCTCTTAATTCCAGCAAAAGTCATTTTTCCTGGTGGGGGAACAATGGAGAATCCGCAAAGGCTCACATGTGCACACGATTGCATTTCTCAAATAATAGCCTGCATAAGACCGTATCATTTGAATATTGATAACAGTGGATGGTGGTGGATGTATGCACGGGTGGGGCAGTCAGCAAATTAAACGGAGGGATAAAGAGTTGCCGCTCATCACCTTAGTGTCGCTAATCCTCACCTCCGTGTCCAAAGGTCAGGAGAATGTTGTTTAGGCCAGTGGAAAATGAGTCACGGTCACACACAGCAACATGTGAGTGGCAGCGGGCTTACAGTAGTCCCGTGTGCAGCCCGACTGTGTGAATACACCACTTAATGGGCGCTAAGCTCCTATAATTTAAAGGGTAGGCGAGGATTGGCATTCAACGTGTCTGGATGCTACGATGACAGAGGAGCGTAATCAAACGTGCATCCAGCCAGCAGACGAACATGAACATGATATCTGAAATCTGAGTGTGAACAGCTTCTATTGCCATCAAAGATTTTGGGCACCAGAACAGATTGCTCTCTCGGCCGGAGCGACTGTTCCCTGATCCTGCAAAATGAGCCAGAATGCCTGGACTGCAGGGGTTGAGTGAGCTGACGACGCCATATATGGGTCTTGGTTGGGCTGGAGGTTTGCCTAGTCTCCACAGAGTAATGACCGTATCACTGTTTCCTGGTAAACACCTCATGTGAACCTCTACAAGGACCCATGCTGCAGTGTAGCTTTAACTGAGAGGAGAGATGCTGTATCCCCAGTTGGCAGTTTGTTAGCTACACCCAGTTCAACCGAGTGCAGTCTATCCTGCTAAGAAACCTGCTGTCATGAAGCTTTTAATGTTCTGGTTCTCTTAAAGACACGTGTTGGTTCAACTTTTGGATCATTTTGGAAGCTGCAGTTTGTGGTTCTGTTGAACTTTATTGCATTAGACAAGATTTATATCAATGTGGGTAGAGTTGCTCATAAAGACAGCTTTCTATTTAATTCATGAATGGAGAGTTTAGTTTTCGTTTTAGCACTAAAAATGTATACTAGGAATCTACTCAATTTGACTTTTCAGCCATGTTATTCAATTAAAATATTCAATTGTGCCGAAAAGTGTGCCACACAAACATTGCATTAAATGTATTAACAACCTATATTGTACAACTGCGATGATGATTTAGACTGTGGTTTAAAATATGCATTATTATGTACACTTAAATATTTATATTTAAATATCCCGTTACTTGATGTAGAAAGACGTAACGCTATTAAAGCAACTCAGCCTCAAATTCAGGCTATTTTATATAAAATATTTGTTTTAATCAACTGAAATGACATTTTCAGGTATGTTTTTATGTAGGAAAGTATACTTAGATTTTACTCAGAAGTAGTAGTTTTCACGACTTCAGCTACACTATTTGTTCACATTAATATTATACTTGATGCAAATATTTTGAACAACACTCTGCTAATATTTTTTCTAAGAATATTTTCTGGGCACATTTTAGATATATATCTTTATTACATTTACTGTTTGTACTTCCTGGATGTAAAATGTGTTTTAATAGGTATCCTAGTGAAAATAGTGACACTTAATATTTGATCATGTATATTATGTATAAATGAAGGTGGCTTGGTGGTTAGACTCGTTGCCTGGCAACAAGAAGGTTGCCGGTTCGTGTCCCGGTGAGGACACCTGGGATCTTTCTGCGTGGAGTTTGTATGTTCTCTCCGTGCAGCGTGGGTTCTCTCCGGGTTCTCTGGCTTCCTCCCACACGGTTCAAAACATCCATCCATTATCTATACATCGCTTAGTCCTCACTAGGGTCGCGGGGGAGCTGGAGTCTATCCCAGCTGACTTAGGGTGAAGGCAGGGGACACCCTGGACAGGTCGCCAGTCTATCACAGGGCTACACTTAGAGACAGACAACCAAGCACACTCCTATTGTTCAATACCCCCAATTTAGTTAAAGCCTGAATACTCAGTTTGCAAAAGTTGATTGTGGTTACATTTTTACTGTGATATTTATTGTATGTATATTGTGAAATCAATAAAGTTTTGAGAAGATATACACTTTATCTATGAGAATAAATCACATTGTCACAATCATTTCATGAGAAGAGTTAAAAAACATATTTCATTCTAACTTTATGTGTGGCAGTGTATATTGTTTTTACACATGTAAATATCCTTTATTAAACATGAAAAAGCATGGTTTGGAGTATTTTAATGGCCCAGCTGCTGAAAAATTAGTTTCTTTTTTGTTGTTTTGTTTTTTGATAGTCTACATTGTGACACTTAAAGTTTATTGGTAATAATCACAACAAGTGCAGAAATAAAACACAGTGTTTTCTTTATTTACAGTATATAAGCTTGTTATCAAAAAACAAAGAAGACCATATATATAGTGTATATGTATATTATTCCATTATTCTCATCTATAGGTCCTGGAAATGTGCCTTTAAGTTTCTCCCCTAATATCAACATTCACAACTACAGCACATAATCAACACTCAAAACCCAGATGATCTACTGGACATGTGTGTTTTCATGAGATTGGACTGACAACAACCAAACAACACTGCAGCTGTCATCACTTTCAAATACTGCTGAATCCTGATTGGAGCATGACACTATGACATCATCATTTTCAAAACCAATGAAAAGTTCACAGGAAACAAAGCAGAAATCTGAGAAAATTTGTGAAATAAACAAAACTATCCTGGCATCAGTAGAAAATAACAAATGAATGTAGGGTCCCATTACACACAGTAAAGTAGCTGAGAAAATAAGTCAGTAATTGATTGTGTGTTGTTGTCATTTTCTTCCAAATAAATGATTTATTCTGAGTAAAGGAAAACACAACAATCTGGGCGTCCAGCATCAAATCAGACAAGGAAGCAGGTTGGAGAAGAGCTGCTATTATATTCAGTAATAAGGGTAGGAGCAGATGAAAGGTTGAGGTACCCAGCATGTGAAGTCATTAAACTTTCCTTCTCCTGAAAGACAGACAAACAGCAGGTCAGAAATCCAGCAGCTCAGAGTCAATAATTAAATGTGCAGCTCAGCTTGAGTCTGTCTGTTGTATCTTTATGAATACACAAAGCATGTGTTACTTATAATAACAACACTATTTATTTATCATGTAGGTGTTTTCAAGCTGGTTCAACAAACATAAGTTCCCCCGCTGCCTTAGAAAAGCGAGCTGAGGTTAAATTAAATAATTAGCGCAAAGTCGTCTGATGAGCTTTGAAAATGTAAAACGGGCAGAGTGAGCTGAACATGGCCACATTTAATAAACACCAGATATTAAGTGGAATCAACATGCAGACAGATTTTCTGTTTTCTTCATCTGACCTGAAGAAATTAAAGTTTAAATTATATTAAAGTTGCAGCTACTTTGGAGAACGTTGAGCGGAACACACAATATTAGTACGATAACAGGCCGACCTGATCATGTAAGGCATGAAAACAGGGTCAGGCATTATAAATCTGAATGTTCTCAGGAGTATGTTTGTTGACTGAGTTCTCAAAAGTCAAAATAATTAATATGTAGAAATGCTCTTTAAATAGGAAACTATACATTTTAAGTTGAATTAACGTGAAATTAATAGATTGTGCAAATTTACGGTATGATAACAAGAAAAGTTGAACTGAAGAAGAAATTCCTGCTTATGTTTTACAATCTAGAATCAACCCAATATAACCTGAGACAAAATCTTTATAATATTTTCAGTCCTTTTATTAACACATGAGCTTCCCTGAAAACATAATTTGTGGAATTTTGTGGGTTTCTAAAATACTGACAGCGTGCTATTTTTGCCATGTCTGGTTTTCTTTATCTTTCCACCATAGATCATGTATGAAATTAGTCTCTAGTTGATGCATAATTCATGCGTGATTCATCACTAATTCACTTTAATAAATACACCAACATGCTGTTCTAGAAGCGTGTTGGTACAAAATCATAAACTTTACTTCGCGTAACTCAACATCAGAAAAAAAAGATGATGTCAAGCACCGAAAACAAAGCAAAAGAACAAAATTAACTCTCCATGGTGCTGAAATCTGTTCGCTTTTTCTTATTGTTGCTGTTAGCAGGAATAATAATAAATAAAAGCTAAATCAAATGCCATATAAATGCTGCATGTGCTGCTTCTGACCACGAAAAAGTGAGAAAATATAATGTGCACAGGATTTTAGTCATTTAAAGTTACACACAGACTTTCAGTGTGTCGGGATGAAATGATGCTACATGTCAGAAGACGATGTGACAGTTTTGTAATCTGAAACATTTCTGCTGATTTTGTATGCATAAATAAAGAGGCAATATTTTTTTTATAACCTTTAACTGACCTAGACTGTGCAATTAATCAAAATGCATCCATTTCCATAGACACCTTTTTGCGTAATTTTAGTTCCTTGTTGTTTTTTTTTTAATTAAGGTGCTTAAAACAAAAACATAAAAGGCAGTGAAAGCTAATCCAAATGAACCGCTCAGAGATTTAAACTGTCTCGTACCAGGCATCACTTCCAGACAGTCCTCCGTATTGTCACTGGGCTCCCCGCTCAGCCAGTCAGAATAGTCCCAGTAGGATCCGTCCAACCAGATAAAGCGCCCGGTCTGACAGGTAAAAAGAGACACAATCTGTTACTCCTCAGATAAAACACAACACTCACATGAACCAGCCTCGTTTTGTGTGTTTAAGGCGCAGTAAAGCATTATTTTGTGTTGTCAGCTACAGATTTATGAGCCTCGGCTCCCTGCCTGAAGATACCCACATCCAGAAACCGTACTCCTCCGACCCAGGTGTGTGTAGGGCCTCCGATCTCGGTCACAATCAAGTGTAACAGCTCGTTGTGGAGGTACGGGCTTGTGATGGAGGCCAGGTGGCCATCGATGAAATGTTCCTGGCAATGGAACTGTGGAATAACAGAAGTGGCGTTTTCATACAGAAGCTTATAAAGACTTAATGGTGAATCCCTGGAATAGTGGTGAACAAACGTAGAAATACCTCAGCATCCGAAAACCTCTTAGCTTCCCTGATGAACTGGTAACACTTCCTCTCAAACACCATGCCAGAACAATAGCTCAGCCCTGTGGCAAAAAGGGGAAATTACAACATTTCTTTCCATCTTGCTGCTCAGTAAAGAACTTTTTTTTTTTTTTTGCATTGCTTGCGTTCAAGAAAAAAATAATTCTCCTGAACAAATAAACACTTTTCACTGCAATCCCTCCTCATGTCCACGAAAAGATCTTTTTATAATGTGACTCCAGTGCAATCCAATACAACATCACTTCTTTTAACTACCTCTGAAGTTCACAGGAGGATTCCAAGTTGTATAAATCAAAGTCATCCTCAGTAGCTTTTTATTACAAAAGTCACCCTTTGTGTTGCTATTGTTTCACTTTAGCTCAGTCAAAAAACACCATTTGTGGAAGATATAGTTACAAAAAAAGGCAATAATTTTAAAAGACACACTCTCAAGATGAAAACAACCATTCTAGCATTTGTTTTGTTTTATCTGCTAAAGCTTTGATATGTGTTCTTCTTTTTTAGATTGTTTCTCTGCTTTGTTTGGTTCCCTCTCGGGGGGCATTAACCAGCTCCGAGTGGGATTGCTTATTTCTTGCATTTTATGTTTGTTGTCTACATTATTCAAAATCTACAAACAAGGTCTCACAAAAAAGAAGTGATTTTTACTAAGAGTCACATTTCTTACAATGGAATTGCATCAGGAACAGATTCCTTTACAGCCAGCGTGGAGAAGAGGAATAATTTCAGCTTTAATGTCCATAGAAGCACCTTGTTTGGAGGCTGTAAAAATGTGTTTATGTGTGTGCATGAAACTTTATTTACCTCTTGTGCCTGGGTTTCGTAGTATTCTTCTCCCAGCTCCTTCAATGTCGGCATCCGACACAGGAAGGTCTTCCCCTCCTGCCTGATCAAAAAGCTGCTCCTCCTCCCCCCTTAACTCTGCCCCTGCTTCCTCATCAGGCCTCGCCTCCACGCTGACCTCTTCATTTGGTAAATAGTTTACTGCAAACTCCTGCTGCTCTGTCATGTCCAACTGTTGATCTTCTTCCAAGTTTGCAGCAAGTGGCACGATGTCTTCATTTCCAAAGGGCCCTTCTACTATGTTCGACTGCAGTTCTTCATCTGAACCATAGTTCCTCATCCTCGCCAGCCCCTCCTGCTCCTCCTCCTCCTCTGGCTGAGGCTCAACGTCAGGATTCGGATTCAGAAACGCCGCCCTCATAGGCTTTTCTTCCTCTGAGAACTCTGTGTCGCTCGCTTCGTCTTCAAACAGGTTGTCGTCATCCAGAGGCTCAAACTCCTCACCTTGCATTTCATAGTTTGCTCGGGCCTGAAGCTGAGCCTCATCTAACAGCGGTGGCTGTACTTGAATGTCTGATTCCATCCTAGACTCTGGATAAACTCTTGGCTCTGGTTCAAACTCTTGCTCCATCTGAACCTCTTGCGCTGCTTCAGACGTCTCCTCCAACATATCTTCTGCCTGTACTTCAGCCTCTTGTTCCACATCAAGCTCTGGCTCTGCTATTACCTCCTCTTTACCCTCTTGCGCTGCTTCAGACTTCTCTTCCGACGTATCTTCTGCCTGTACTTCAGCCTCTTGTTCCACCTCAAGCTCTGGCTCTGCTTGTAGCTCCTCTTTACCCTCTTGCTCCACCTGAACTTCTTGCCAGGCTTCAGACTTCTCCTCCACCTTATCTTCTCCCTTTACTTCAGCCTCTTGTTCCACCTCAAGCTCTGGCTGTGCTTTTAGCTCCTCTTTACCCTCTTGCACTGCTTCAGACTTCTCCTCCACCGTGTCTTCTGGCTTTACTTTAACCTCTGGTTCCACCTTCGCCTCACCCTCTGGCTCCACTTTGACCTCTGGCTGCTCTTTGGGCGGACTCTGATTCTGCTTCACGTCCACTGGAGACACCTTTTCTTGCGGCTCTTTGGAGCTCAGTCTGGGCTGTGGTGCAGGATCCTCCACTTCCACATGGCCCTGCACAGGAACCAAGTCTCCCACCAGAGGGCTCTGCTCTTCTTTGGCTAAACCAGGACTTTGTGGCACACCAGGGGGAGGTGCTGGTTTTCCCAGAGCCACTGCAAAGAGAAAACATTTAAATAATTGCAGATGAAAGCAGGTAGATTCTTTTTCCCAGGCATGTAAAAGACTCAAGTGATTTGGCATCTTTTTTGTGGGAGCTTTGGGTGTCTGAATAGTCATTAAATTGCCATTTTTACTGGAAATATAAACAGTCAGCATCACAAAGACTCAAACCCTTCAGGAAGCTACCTGGTAATTTTAATTTTGCAAAAGCAGTTCAAGTTTGCTTATGTTAATGTACATATTAGAAATCACAGACTATTCCATCAAAGACAGATAACAATAAAACATTTACGATATTAAAAGTGTCAGGAAAACTCTAAACAAACAAATCTGTAAAGGGATCAGTCACACTCCTTGAGCAAAGGAATTAAAATCTCTTACCTGCAAAGCTCAATAAAAGCAGCACCAGCGTCTTCATCTTGATCTAAATGGAAAAATCAGTATGATTTTATGTAACTATCGAGAAAGTGACTGATTCACTTTAAAATGGGTTTTGCACCTGCTCACGTTTCTCTGTTTCAACTGTTTCCTTATGCACTCCTGATATTTATAACTGCAGAAGTCCTGCCTCTTTTGTTTCTAATTTCTCAGAAAGTCATAAAGCAGGGCCGTTCCTTTACCGTAACTTGCCAAAAGCTCACGTGCTCTAATTTTGTTTCCTCTTCGCATTCTTTCTGTAATGATTTATAAGACATAAAGTTAATATTTTCTAGGCCTCGTCCAAAAACAACTTGTAAAGTATCAATGTCATACCTGTCATAAAAAACAAATCAGGGTAATAAACTGTTGCAGGCTCTTGGTAAAGAGATATGAAAGTCAATCAGGCACGTGTGTGAATGCAAAAAATAATGAAAATGTTCATCGATTCTTGAAATGGAACTGGGTCTCTTGGACTCAGCTGCTATGAGAGCAACAGATGTTATAGTTGGAAAAAGTACAAAATGTAGATGATTTAGTTAATAAATGAACCACATCGCTGAAATTTTACCTTTAAAAGAAGTCGGAGAACGTTTTATTCTTGCTCTTGACATCCAATTATCAAAACAGCCCTCCAGTCACTCAGTGACTGGAATCTATATCTGGACTCTGACCTTTAAAATTAAAGAGAGCAATAACCTCTTTTTACTGGTGTCGTTAGTAATACAGTCTCAAGGCAAGACTGTTAAACTCTTGAAATTGTTTTATATTGTATTTTCTGTCTGTCTTTGATGCCACAGTATGCCGCTATTAAAACCACGAGCATTGATATTCATTGGTCTTCACTCTAACACGTCTGAATAAAAAGTAGGATTCATGGTATCAGGATGAATAGAGTATTTATTCAATTCACTTGTCCAACTTTTGATCCTCTGACACTGTAAAGCCTTAAGGTTTGACAAGTTGTTTTTGGTAAATCAGTGTTTGATTTAGTCAAAGATGTCTTCACCCTGGGGCTGCAGGGTGGAACAGTTGGTAGCACTGTTGCTTCGCAGCAAGAAGGTCACCGGTTCGTGTCCCGGGATCTTTCTGTGTGGAGTTTGCATGTTCTCCCCGTGCAGCGTGGGTTCTCTCCGGGTTCTCCAACTTCCTCCCACACAGTCCAAAAACATGTTGAGATTAATTGGTGATTCTAAATTGTCCGTAGGTGTGAATGTGAGTGTGCTTGGTTGTCTGTCTCTAAGTGTAGCACTGTGATAGACTGGTGACCTGTCCAGGGTGTCCCCTGCCTTCACCCTGAGTCAGCTGGGATAGACTGCAGCCCCCCGTGACCCTAGTGAGGATTAAGTGGTGTATAGATAATGGATGGATGGATGGATAGTTCACAAAATATGTTTTCGAGTTCTCTCTACTTCTAGCTATGGTTGTGTTGTTTCCATAGAGGTTCCGTACTTTATATTGCGGTGAAAGATGAGCCCATAGTGAGTAAACATGTGACAGGATCAAAAAAACACCAAGAAAACTGCTTGGAGTTCAGAAGGTTAAATACTTATATCAAAACTTTAAATTAATGTTAAAGTTTTGGAGTTGAGTTTTTCTGTTATTCTTTAGAGGTTTTTGAAAATGAAACTGCTCATTTCAATATAAAATTCATTGGTTTTACATGATATAAAACTTTAAGCTTTAAACTGAGCTCTCATTTAGCTTTAAACTCAGGTTAAAGGATTGGTGCTGCACAGCAAAAAAGAATAATCTTGATTTATCCCAGGAGGTTTGGTTCTAGCCGGCACAAACCAGCTTCAGCATTTGGTCGCGGTGAAGTGTGAGGAGGACAGTTGTTGAAATGATTCCTGAGCTCTCATGGCTGACACAGATCACAGAGCGTTTACAGTCACGTCTTCTTGTAGATTTGATTTATAAGAGATTCACTACCTGGGAGAGTTTGTGTAAAACACGTCTGTGAAACATGAGCAGTGATTTCTGATCTGTGTTGTTCTGGATGTTTATGTGTGTGTCAGTGTCTCTCTGGGTGCTACATGACATCAGTGTGTCCTGCTCACAGCCGAGCAGCTGGGATTGTTGATAGTGAACAGGTGCTGCAGCTGAGATTTTGTGAGTTAGTATTTCACTGTTTCTCCCTGTGTGTGCTTATGCACACGTGTCTACATGTATAGCCCCTGTGTGTGTCTTTGTGTGTGCATATGGCCACAAATGTAAGCATGTGGGCACATTAAGCAGGCTGAGTGACAATGTGCCGTTGTGTGGACGCTGGTGGTGGGAAACCTAATAGCCAAGGACACAGTAGCTCAGCAGCAGCTGTCTCATCTCTGCACCTCCTATTACACTCATCGCTGTGGACATATGGAAACCACACAACTCTAACCTTTGTGATTTCCATCCTTTACATTCACATACGCCGACTTAAGTAGATACATAAGTAGTAACAGCAAAGCGAGACATTAATATTTATGCATTTTATTGCTGTAGCTGCTTGGAATAAAGGCACTGCTTTATACATGCCTAAGTAGCTCATACACCACTATATGCCATATTTTATACGTTTAAGTCGACAGGCGTGGGGCAGGTGATTTTTCCAGAAGAAAAAAAATCACAACACATTGAATAAAGTTCTGGGCTGAAAAATAGGTGAACTAAACCGAGGCTACGATAACTCAAGAAAGTGAAAACTGAACAGATGAAACTCATCTAACAAACTGAACACAGGGGGCATACGATACATATTACAACCATTTCCCTGAGGTTTGCACCAAAGGGATCAATAAAGTTCTACTCTATTCTATTGACGGATCATTGCGAAACAACAGGGGATCACACAAACACAACCAGCTAAACTATGAATACAACAAAACAGGACCATCTGATTATATAATATAGAGAAATAAACTCTAAACCTCTAAAACTGTTTGCTGATGCATATGCAATATGATTTTAACATACATGAGGTCAAAGTGAGGAGGAAATTAACTACAAGGTCTAGCTGTGGAGTGATATCGACATTTAGCTTTAATTTTGTGGCTGCAGGTGGAGCATCACATTTCCAAGGTGTGCAAGTAAAATACATCTCAACAGTACCTAAACTTAGACGAACTGATTTTTTTTTTGCCACTTTTGGTAAGAAGAAACATTTTTTTCATTACCTTTTGACATGACAAACTTGTAGCAAACATTTGCCTTTTTGCATATCAACAGCAACATGAATGTAAGTGTGGTATGGATTCCCTTTTAGCTCTGTTTTTGGTCTCCACCAACTCCTACAAAAATATTTATCTGTGTTGCTGCTGAATACACCACATGGTTCCTGGAATAGTTGTTGTGTCTGTCAGCTGTTTGTTGCCAAGCAGGTTGAATTTGTTTAATTGCTGAAAGCATTTGCCTGCTTCATCTGAAAATAATGCAGAAAAAACAAACTGTATTGTTCTCACACTGTTGCTGGAAATGTTTTAGTATAAAATCTTTAATTATCGCTTTTTTAAAAGTGTCAAAAAGCGATAATCTACAAAAAAAACTGATTGTGCACCTCATATTAAACCTAATTTGCTTCGTTTATACACATCTACAGCTGCTTTTATCTGGATCAAACAGTCATAAAATGCAAATACACTGAAAGTTATGTCTGTAACAACAACACAAGTGTGTCTTTGCGAAACTTAAATGTCTCTTGTAGCCTAACTCAATAAATCTGACCAAGGACATGCTTGCATTATGGGCAAAACTATGATACGTGATATTAATCTGCACATTGTAGGGCAAGTAATTTGCACATTCCTGCACAGAATAAATATTTTTGTTACTTTTTATCTCCTAAAATTTCCTGTGTTTGCTACAGTTGCTCTTTTTGATGTGAAATAGTTACTGACTATTGACTTGCAACACCTGATTTCTTTTAACATTTCTTTCCTTTAACTATTCTATGCTTGCACTAAATTACCTCATCAAATTCTTTGTATGTGAAAACCTACTTGTTAATAAAACTAATTTAGATTTTTTTCTATTACAGATGGGTTAAAATAAAGAAATGACTTCTTCTCCAATCATCTGATGGACTATAATCTTTAAAATATTGCCTTTATGACTGAAGTTATTCCATTTTAGCCACAATGTAGAGGCTGCAATCACTTTTTGGCAAGTGGGAAACTGCATTAAATGAGTCGAACTGCTCCTTTAAAGCGAATTGAACGGATGAAAACGACTGGTTTGTTTATGATCTGACGAGTAGCGCAGGTATATTTATCCAAAGATATAATGGAGTTGCAGTTTTAAATGCTAATTGACGTAAAATCAATTACGGTAGGAAAACACTGAACCGCGGTCTTCCTGACGACTCCGTGTAACAGTTCCAGCAGGGCAGGTCAAACTGTGACAATCAAACGGGATCATGTTTCCTCTGGGAGCTTTTGTCTGCAGAGGGACGGTGGTCTCTGCCCGGACTGGTGCGCGCACCCCGTCAGTTGTCCGGGATACGTGAGCGCGCACACGCCTGCTGCAGATCACACTTGAGGAATCTGCAGAAGAGTTTGGACTAAAACTGATCTCATCCAGACTCAGCCTGGAGCCTCAGACCTCAGGACGGATCTGAATCCACCGTGACAGGAGATGAACTCCGTGAAGATGCTGGCCCTGCCTCTGCTCATCACCTTTCTGCACAGTGAGTTTGTCACGTCCATGACACTTGAAGCAGTTTGAAAAAAAAAGTTTTAATAGCAAAAAAAAAAAACGAAGAAGAGAGAACGTGATGACAATAGATGTACAGCTAAATATACTGAGAGGAAGAATTAGTCTTCATCAGGCTTTTTAAACTTGAGTGTAGTTCATTTTGTGCAAACGTGCTAATTGAGCTTTTTACCATCTTGTAGGCTAACTTGTGATATATCCCCTCATTTTTACAAGGGATTCTGCAGTTTAATATATTTAATTTCACTTGAAACATTTTGGTATTTAAAGAAAAACAAATAAATTTTTAAAAAAGGAAAATTGAAGGTGTGTATTACAGAAGCAGACTAATGGAGAGAGTTAGGGACTGTGTGAAAATTATTGTCATGGTGAGAGAGGGAAGAACTTTAGCTTTCAATTTTTGTACTTTTTTGAAAAAATAAAGACACAAAAAACTTGTTATGCAATGTTGCAATGTTATTTCCTTTGGACTCTAATCTAGAACTCTGAACAGCTGCAACACTCCTTTCCCCCTTTTCCCCATATTTCATAATGATAAAATGGTGCAGGTACAATTATTCACAAGTGCTGACAAAAACATGCATCGATTTACACTAAACAGGTCTTAAAATGTGTGAATGTTTTAGCTGAAATTAAAAGTTTCTGTATCTGATATTAACTGATAATGTACTAAAACCAAATATAAATTTTGACTGAAACAAAATTCCAAATAATTTTTGTACGGTCCCTGAGAATTAATAAATGACTTCCAAACTATTGATTAGTAAATTAAATTGAAATGATGATATGGTGTACTTAGACAAGCCCTTCTGCTTTCAATATAAAGTGGACAGTCAGGCTTTTGTTGTATTATTTTATTTATTAGTCCGTGTGCATGACCCCGGACTCCGGGGCAGGAGGTGTGATGTGTTCAGGGGCTGCAGCGGAGATTGTTGCAGGGAGTGGCTGAGCTTCATGTTTACACTGAACCCGCTCTGATGCCGTTTGAACCCGAGATCCACAAGGCTGATGAGACACACAACACGGAGGAGTTTGCGATCCCACCGTTCCAGTTTGACGATAGCCCCTGACTGACCCCGCTGTTAATTGGACTGAGATGAAAACGACCACTTGCTATCTGAAAAAAATGCATTTGATGTTGCTTTGGGATTCTTAGAGGGCTGCTTTCCAAACAACATGCTTTATGTTGTTAATTGCAACTGGTGTGTGTGTGTGTGAGTTTTTCTTTTCTTTTTTTAAAAAAATCTTTCTAGTAATTTACTCATGAGGACCAAATGGCCTTGCAGAGATGAAAAGATTGAAATCTTCTGTTTGGACAAAGCAACTAAAAAGATGTACTTTTGACTATTTTGTGAAACGTCCATGTTTCAGTACTGTGCAGTGCATGGCAGGTTGTTTCAGTCACAACTCGGTGTCTCTAAAATGCTTCCCAAATAAGTATAGGTAGCAAAAAGTGATACGTGGAATACAATCTGAAATACATTTTCAACAATTTTGAATGTTTTCACCCTCTTAAGTGCTGCATTTGTATACAATTTGCAAAAAACAAAAAAATATTTAAAAAAAACTTCTTTTATTAACTGCATTTAAAATATCAATTATCAAGGATGTAACATGCTTTTTGTTCGCAATATATTACACAATATATTGCAAATACATGTGCTGCTCACTTGGGCTACAAAGAATAGCTAGAATTTGGTTCAGGTTAAGGTCACAGTAAAACCCACATTGTGCAGGGAGTCCACAAGTGTGTAATACAGATGTCTGTATGTGTGTGTGTGTGATGTGTGTGCCAGCTGAGAAGGGTAAGGTTACTGTCATATAGAGTGGCTACATGTGCATGAGAAAAGCGCAGCATGTGTGCACCGTTAACAGACACATCCAGTGAAATGCTTTGGATTTTCCTCCGTGCTCATGCTACAAAGAAGAAGCAGTCATCATTTATGTCCTCACATAAAGGCTTGTTAAGCGATTCTCCACGTAGGATCTCTTTGTTTTAACCACTAATCACGTCTGCAGTCTTGAATGACAGTTGGCAGTTTTACGTTCTACTGGGATCAACAGCTTTAATGAAAGACGAAAGGTTTCTTACAAAGCAGCATGACATCAATAGAAACTTCCCAAATCTGCAGCATAATCACATAATGGTATTTGCTGACATGCATGTGTGTGTGCGATCAGTGTGTTGTTCCAGAGCCCTCTGCAAGGAATCCAACTTTCTGATTAACTCATATTTCATTTAAACTGTTTTCTGCAGTAAGAAACTTTTCCCCCAAAGGAATCGATGGAAAAAAAAAAGTCAGCTTGTCTTCTCAGAAAGGAAACCGTCTTCCAAAGCCTCTTTTTAAACATTTGATGCAAATTTTTTGCATGGACTGTCACTTTAAATATACTTCTTTTTTTTTTTTTTGTTGGGTGCATGTTTTGTCTCTCTGAAAGTGTCTGCTGCAGGCTTATGTGTGTTTGTGTTTGAGTTTGTGTGCCTGCTGAGGGACACATCACTGAAGGAGGTTATCAGGTCGGGATAAAGCAGCTTGTCAGAGGATCATCCATCACCTGCATTCCTCTGCTCCACCGCTCCTGGTACCACCAGGATGGAGTTTCACACTCTGAATGTCTGTGTGAGTCAGCGTATGGGGCTTGTGCTGCCAAGTTTATGAGGACACATTTCAATTTCAAGCTGAACATCTGTGCATGATGAGGGCATTTTAGGTGGCCCCTGTTATTTAAAACTGACTGTTTTACTTGGTTTTGAAGTTCTGGTTAGAATTTAGTGTAGATTGGAGACTTTGGGAGAGGGAATGTACAACTGGAAAGACTAATGTGTCAGATATTCTGTTGTTTTTATATTTTCGTTGTGCTTCTTCCTCCTGTTCATATTTGTTTGATTCTGTTTTTGGTTTCTGATTGCACTGGAGTCCAAAAAGCCCTGGAATGCTCTTAATTTTAAACTTTAAATATATTAAATGCTGAGAGATTCTTGTTCTCATCAACAATGTGATCAGAAAAACAAAAAAAGTTTAACTTGGCAGACTGAGTGTAAACTGTTGGTTTCTAACAGTAGATTTGATGTTCTTGCTCCTGCAGGTCCCGTCTGTCTGTCGGTGACAGTCGGCAGCAGTAAACCCAAAGTGGAGGTCCACGAACACACCGGTGAGATTACGCAACACATTCTTAAAGATCACAGCATTAAAGAACAAAGTTGTTCAATGTCACATAGTCTCCTTGAACATTCATCTTATCTTTGATGTTTGTACTGATGCACCAGTGAGTTTTTCCTCCTAGTTCTAAATGAACAGAAATAAAAGCTCCCCATTGAATATATATGAGTAAAATATGAAAAATTGGTTGTTCACAGGTGCATTTAAACAGTAATGTCAGAAGAAACAGTCACAAATATATATGTGACTTCAATCATGGAGATAATGCAAATTGTATTCATTTGCACATTTAAGAACACTTAAAAAACTAACTTCATGTCTCATGTTTGCTCACCAAATCTCTGTCCTTTGCACCTCTTCTCTAAACAAATCACTCAAATCAGGTGCGTATGCAAATGTGAAGAGATGCACAGTTGCATCTTAAAATACCCCAGCCTTTAATGTGTCGACCTACATATGTTTCTAAATACATTTTGGAAAGTCAACCAAAAATAAAAGCATTTCTTGATGAAAAATATGGGAGAATTATTACCAGAAAATAGGCGTCCCAGTTACATCACACAGACAAAAACAGCAAATTCAGCTACAGACAAATAAACAAACCAAGCTGCAATATAAAAAGTAATTTTGTGGCTCTGTTTTTCTGCCCTCTCAGACGCCGTGCTGTCCTGCGAGTTCAGGACGGAGAAAGATCAGAACCCTCGCATCGAGTGGAAGAAGAAAGGAAAGGCGGTGACTTTTGTGTACTTTAATAACAAATTTGCTGGTGAGTGACAGACCTGCGCCGGATGCATTCCTGAAACTGCCCTGATTTGGAAAGACAGATATTTTGCTGCCTTTCCTGTCTTTATTCTTTTATGCTTAATTGTTATCTTTGATTTACTGTTTCCCATCCTTTTGTGCATGTTTAGGGTCTTATGCAGGACGGGCGAAGATAGAGGGAGCGACGCTGACGATACACTCCGTCACTCAGAAAGACTCGGGAGAGTATCGCTGTGAAGTGACCGCCAGCGAGGACCACGTCAACCTGGGAGAGGCCACTGTAAACCTCAATGTGCTCGGTATGACCACAGTGTTTTGTGAATATATATGAATGTACATACACCAGAGAGAGTGTGGACGCATTTGTGTGGGAGGAATGAACAGCAAAGTTTAAAATGTGCTTTCATCCACAAGAGCTTGTT